ATTATTATTATTATTATTATTAAAAACAGTAGCTGTTTATGGCATTGTTATTGTAATATACTTGGTACTAAAAATTTAAATCTCTTTTGTTTCTCTGTTTGCTGTATATAATTTGATCACAGGATTCATTCGGCGGGTGAGTATGTCATGAATATGATTATCCTTGTTAATATAATGTTAATTTCTAACATTACTAATGTGCAAGGTTCAAGTTAATATGGGTTGAAAAGTTGGGTAGAACAGCTGTGTAGATTGATTAATTAGCTCAGTGTCAATCTCAGTCACCCTTCTTTAGGACCCTGTTCAGGTAGGTACCAAACTTTTTATCACCTAATACCCTGAATTAATAATGGAAAAAGTTTGATTGAAAATGGCTATTTCAATTGAAGTGCTCAGCTGATTTATTAAACTTGATAGAGAAATTTTCAGAACTTTCCCTGTTTCATCATTTTGATCTGGCTTTTCAAAATATCTATATTTAAATACATTTTATAGAATTTGTTACCATGTCCACAAAATGTGATAAAAATGATCCCAGCTTGCAATAGCAATCACAAAAGATGTGTTTTGTTTTATTTTGGAGTTTTCAGTAGCGTCTGTTTTTGTTTTTGTTTTTTTAATACAGTTATCTGTCTTTACTCAGTTTCTTAAGCGAGGATTATTGTTAGGCTTTGAAATATTGAACAAAGGATGGATTACCATGCCTTTTTGAGTGAAAAATTTCGCTGTTTTGAAAGCCACCTGCAAATGAATAGCCATAGTAGATTTAGACTCCAAGTAACAGTTCCCAAAAGGTTATTTAAAGTAAAGATAGTTAATGATGGTTTTCAAATTATGTAGTACACCTTTTTTGCAGGTGTTTGCTGTCCTAATGCTACAACTGTTAACAACTGTGGCAGCTATTTGCTTGTTCCTATTCAGGTAAGAATGGAATGGTTATGGTTTGGTTATCATACACCACAGGCACTGCAGCTCAACCACTCAATCAGATGCAGAGTTCCATTGTCTCTCAAGACAGACAGACAGACAGACAGA